CTCCCATACCTCCACCACCATGCTGTAGAGAGTGCAAATCTGGACCCAAACACTTTGCTTGTATGATATTTTGCTACTGTGGTTCAGTACCTAAGGGAGTGAAATGGAGAAACAACTTTTTCTGCTCCCTCACCTACAGTAACCCAACCTGGCCTCACTGAAGCCTCTTCTTATCATGAGAATTTATGACATGGCTCATTTATTAGGGAGATCCTTAGTCTCAGGATAGGTTCTACTGAGGCCATGACCCTTCTTAGGGGGACCACGCTCATGGCCTTACGCGCATGGCATCCTCATACTCAACTTCTCTACAGATACGCCCACAGAAGATGAACATGGACGCTCTCTCCTCCTCACGCACAGTGACACACATTTATAGATATACATAGACAAACAAACAGAATCATTCGCAGCTGCTCAGCCATGCAGAAATACACACACTCATATATGGCGACACATACATATGTACGCAAATATACTCCCTCTCAACCCAGGCTTTCATGAAGATATTTCTTTCTTTCTCTTATATTAATAGTCATGCTGGTTCCAAAACAGTCAAATGCCCAGTGGTAGATAAGTTGAGAGGGTATCTGTCTTGGCAGACAGGAGTGGGTGAGCAGACAAATGACTGGGAGAAGGTGGTAGCTGAGTGAGAATGGGTGGGTGGATGACAGGGTGACTGAGTGGAAGAAGGGCAAGTAATCAACTCTGATAAGATTCTAGAATATCATATTTTCCAACCTTTTAACTCTCGTTGTGGCTTTCCTTTGAACATTCTCCAAGTCTCATATCTCCCTTCTCTTTGTCTAGCAATCTTTAGCTCTCTGTCTCAGCCTCTCTTTCTGTGTGTGTGTGGGGGGGGCAGGGTGAGTTTGTGTGTGTGTGCGTGCGTGCGCGCTTTACTTTCCCATAACGAAAAGCTTACTGTAGTGCCAGGTAATATTTTATAACAACAAGATCCCTGATATGTAAATGTAACTGCATTTAAGAATTATTTGTAGTAATGAATTTGTGGAAATGTAATGAGAAAAAGAAAATGTGCTTGTTTATTCCTTTCAGGAAATTCCTCTATTCCCCCTGGTTTTCATCAGCTATATTTTTGGCAGGCTATGGGCATGGAAATGTGAAGACATCACTCTCAAAGAGAATTATAATAATTGCATCTAATTTATACAGATGTCACCATAGGGTTAGGCAGTTGGAAAATCCAGCGATCCAAATGAATAGGCACTTAAAATTAAGGACATGCCATACTTCTCTTAACACTCTGGTTTTTAACATTATCAGTAGTCCGCAGAAGATCTTTTTTTTCAGACCTCTAAAGTAGTCACAATGGCAAGACAGATTTATATCTTACAAGATGAGAGCTTTATAAAGCAAGCTATAGACGCTGGTGGTGTACTTCCTGCAGATCCGTTATAAAGGTTCCATTCACTTGGATGTCTTGAGCATATAGTATCTGTGCAAGGCACTAAGGAGGATACTGAAGAAATAAAAGACATTGTGCCTGGCCTCAAAGAATTTATGGGATAGTTGGGGTGTTTTGGAGTGGGCCTTGTGGGGTTTTAGCTGGGGACTAAAAAACGGGTAGGATTCCTAAGCGGGTCAAGAAAAGACCATGGGTCAAAGTTAGGAGGCAGCAGAGAGGAGTGGTGTGTTGAGCAGACAGTTAGGAGGCTAGCCTGGGCATGTCTGAGAGTGGTAGGGGGGAAAGACGGAAGGGCGGCATGCGAACCAAATCATACGGGACTTAGAACATCGAGTTGCGATCTGTCATCAATACAGAGCCACTGAAATTTGACCTCTTTTTATAAAGCCAACGTTTATTAATGCAATAGTATCGATCTTTTCCAAGGGGAGAAACTCGCGGGCCAATGAAAACTCTTAACATGTGAAGCATTTTTATAGAAATACGGCACATATCATGAGCTAAGAATATATATTGGGACTGGTAAGTGGAAAGAGAAGGGATGGAGGAAATAATGACTGTGATAGGCCTTTCTACTGTAATAACTGCCGTGAACAAAATTGTTCTTTGCAATTGAAGAATTAATTGAACTACTAGTGGACTTCGGAAGGGCATGTACTTAGAATGGACAACTAAATAAGGATAATAAACCATAGTAAGTATCCCAAACCCTCTAATCTGGATTGAGCACATGTTAAGAAGACAGGCTGGCTTCTGGTTATTCTGACCTTCCGTCTTATAACAGTGTGTTTATTCTTTATTGAACAAATAAATACTAGAGACCACTAATCCTACTCAGGGAGGTTAGTACAGAAAGGGTAGTTATAAAGGCCAAAAGTAAGGCTCCAGAACCGAAAAGAACAAATAAACCCCATTTCACTTACTGGCCAGAAAATAAAACCCCTAGATGTCTGTACTATCCTCCTTCCCCTTCTCCTGTAGGACTCCCATGCTCCCCTCATGGCCAGAAGAGTATGCTCCAGGCCATCTCTCCCATAACTTCTGACAACCAGTTTTCTCCTTTCTCCTTGGGGAAGAATCCAGCAGATTAAGGGGATAATCCTAAATGCTTTTAAATTAAAATTAACCCAAAGAAGTGAGAATATGTGACACTCAAAGCCAGACCTCCTCTCTGCTTCATGTGGAGAACTAATAGCCTTTACACTTGGAAACCAAACCAAAGTGATCCCCACACATCCAACACACACACACACACACACACACACACACACACACACACACACACAGAGACACACAGCACCTCTCCCTCCCCAAAGTCCAAGATGTTCCAGACAACATAACAAACCACACAGTTGGGAATGATTCATATGTTTCCACTCTCGGTCCAAAAATGAGCAAAAAAAAAAGTTTCCACTTAATTTATAATCAGAATTTTCTGCACATTTCCTAAAAAATTTAAAGGGGAACAATTCAAAAATCTGGCCTTTCTTTCTGCAAAAATTACCGATTAGTTACAGACTAAAGTATCTTTTGGTGAAATACTTTTGTGCTCCATCCAACCCTGGAGACTAGGACTGTGGTTGTGTGGTGCCAAATATCTAATCAATCATCCAGTGTTTTCATGTTTTCGGATGTTTTCAAAAAGCTGGTGTTCTGCAGATACAGGCTTATTCTATCCAGTCTTTTGTTATCTCAATCGTACATATGGATACAGAGTTTTCTGTTTGGAGTATTTCTCAAGGCCAGTGCCTTATTATAGTTCCAACACCTGCAAATATTTGGCAGAGATTGCTCCATCCTCTCCATATTCCCCCTCTTCCTGCAGCCCCACCCCCACCTCTTGCCATTATGAAGCTGTAAGTTTATACAGTATGTCCTTTCCTTGATGCTGGTAATCGTTAATCTGTGACCCATGAAATGTGCAATTGCCAGAGTGTAAAGTTAAGTTTCAAATCACATTTCACGGGCAAAACTTAGGTCCAAAACAAAGCGGCGGCAAGCCACAGCCGAAAGGATACTTCACGCGGGGTCTAGAAGCTGAGTTCTCGTTCCAATTCTGTGACTTTGACCAAACCACTTAACCTCTCAAAGTCTTAGTTTATACCACATTACAGTGTAAGGCTTCAGCTAGACCAAATGCAAGGCTTAGCGTCTTAGGCATCTAAGAACTGAAGTCAATCAGTTTTGAAGTGAATGAGAATATCACCTTGAGTGAAATCCACAGATAAACACTGAACTTTGTACAAATTTGTAAATTTTAGATATAAATAAAAAATCAGAGAAGGCACAAACCATTGTCAGCTTGCAACAAATTACGGGAGGGGAAAATATATCCTATTCGGAGTATTGCTACCTTCCCCAACCCCATGAAATCTTCAGATAAGTTACCGTGGCTTGTTCAGGGCATGACAAGAGGAAAATCCCCACTTCCTGCTTGCCCTCCTTCCATCCTATCTGGGTCTTCCTTCCAGCTCGGCTCCTATAGCCAGTCCCTATTGGGGGTGGTCATCTTGTCAGTCATTTAAACATTTTATTTTCCTGGAATTTCTGCTAAATAGCTCCCTTCTTAAGAGCAGTTAAGCCACAGAGCGGGCAGACAACGGGAATAAAACAATTTTCCAGAGCTGACGTTTGTTAACATCAACGTGAGGCAGGACGGTCTTACAAAATGGGCACTTAGCCTTGCGCACAAAGATTATATGGCATGGCAACCTCGGATAACTCCGTCCGCGGAACACAAATGGAAGACTGGGAACTTCCGAGGCAGGGCCTGCAACCACGGTCTTCAGTCTGCAACCCACACAAACGAGCACAGGCACAAAATCGGATCCTGGATTCGAGATGGATTGGCTTTGGTTTAAAGTTCTAGTTCAGACACTGGGTAATCCCTTCTGACTTCGCGGTAAACTGAAGTTCCTTTTTGTTTGTTTGTTTAAGGCGGGCTTAGAATTAGCCCCATGTTAAGGGCTTGAGGGCGATTTGTAGCAAGCAGCCAACGCCAGGCCTTTGTTTCTTTAGCGAAGGGAGCGAGCAAACACAGACGCTACCGTCCTCCGCACAGGTCTCCCGCCTACGTCCGGACACACTCAGACACCTCCCCCCACACCTCCACGGAGACACGCCCAGCCTTCCCCTTGCTCTCCCCATGCATATCAGCATGCATATCAGCACCTATGCTAATTAGAGTACACCTACACAGGTACTCACATACTTAAAAGAAGAGGTGGAAAGATCACGACAAAGATAGGTAGTGTGCAATCTGCCACTGACAGAGGACAGAGGGACTTGTTTCCCTGGCGGGCTACTGGTGTGGCGCGTGGGGCCAGGGGCCTGAACTCATCCAGAACGGGCCAGAGGTGAAGGAATGCAAGCAGATGTTTGTGCAACCGACGAAACAGGTTCCAGGGAGGGCTGGCGAGTGGGTAGGCTATTCCTCGCGAGAGCAACTTGGGAGCTACGGGCCGTGGCCACATAGGAAAAGCGGACCTAGCTTTGTGAGGGAACTCGCTACCCGTACGGCCGTGTGTAAGAGAGACCACGCTGTGTAAGGGATATTTCCCAGATCCCTTACCTTGAGTTTCTCAAATCGGTCATTCAGGGACGCGACCTGATGGTCTCGGTGACGTCCCACCAGTTTGCATAAGGCACAGATCAATTGGTCATCGGACACACAGTACATGTTCACTTTCTCGTTCTCGTGGTCCAGGCAGGTGATCCCTCGAAGATGCGTGTCTGGCACTGGTTCCACCAGGCGGTGGCTGGTGAAAGGTTTCTTGTTGGGGTGTGTGGCCCGCAGGCACCGGTCACAGTAGGAGACCTCACAGGTGATGCATGTCTTCACTGCATCCCTTGGCGGGTCCTGCTCACAGAACTGGCAAGCAATTCGCTCACTAGACATGGCCGTGCTGGGCCTGTAAGTCCTCTCCCGGCGGCTCTCACTTGGGGAATTGGGCCCACTGACTGAAGCCTTCTGGAAGCGATCGATAATGTTCTGCAAAGTCACATTCCTCTTGAGGCCGTCCAGGCCCCGGTGGTTCAGCGAGATAACATACCTGCACGTGGGACACTGGAAAGCAGTGATGGGTTCAATGGATTCGCCAGAGCTGCAGCTCGAGACCAGGATGCGGTGGGCACAGCTGAAGCAGAGGCTGTGGGCACAAGGGAGCAGAAGGGGGTCTTCGAACAACTCCAGGCAGATTGGACAGGTCAATTCGGACTCCAGTGTTTCCATCTTTAGTGAAAATAATCCTGCTGGGGCATTAAGAACCACAGAGGCTGGGCTTTCACCTGCGAGGAATACAAAGCGGGAGTCACTAAGCGTCTCCAAAGGAAACCTGGATGCAGAGTGGCTACACACTAACCAACGGAGGCTCTTGCGTGCTCCATTCCCCAGCAACACTGGAGCAATAGGAAAGCGATCTGGGAATTAATCAAAAAGCCTCTCTCCCCCACCCTCCTCCGCTTCAAACCTTGTTTTCGACAAATGCCTGAGTTTATGTTCCTGCACTAATAAACAGAACCGTGTGGCCACCGCTGAATCCTGGTTTACTGGTTAACATTACTATTCCAGCTCACAATACCGGCACGGAGCCGTCCCTCACATATTGTCCACTGACATTTCTGGTCCTGGACTATGATGAGCCTGAGGCCCTGCGGAACTCTCCATCTCCATTCTCCAGTGTTGTTCTGTATTTTACTTCAAGGTAAAATATAGGGGCTGCGCCTATTCCACATCCGGTGGAAGGAAAATAAGGCCATATTTCAAACTAACTCTCTACTTCTTGAAATGATTCCATTCTGAGAGCCTGTGTAAAAAAAAAAAGAAGAGAGGGCTTTGGAAAAATGGACTTCTCAGCGTAGAATAATAAGTTCTTCAGAGTGTGAACCTTAATTACTTCCTGTTACCACTCATGGAAATTCCTGCTCTATCCTGTTTCTAGTAAGCTGAGTTACTAGACACAAATGGTGCTAGTTTTCACTTCCTTCCCTCACCTTCAGCAAGCTCTTCATCTCATCAAGCTCAATGAGGAGGGACTATGACTTTTCAACTTACTCAGCAGTAGTTTCTGATCAATAATGAAGATGTATTACCTTGTGGTTTTGGCTGGGTTTTATTATTACACACCCACTGAACTAGCACAAGCCTACTGTGAAGCACACCTCCCCATGTGTCTTTTCATACTTCCTAAAACATAACAAGATGCAAACCAATACCCAGATACAAATTAGCAAGGTGAGGGGCCAGAAATTTTCAGACCTGGTAACTTTCGTTTTGGTAGGTGCATCAGAGAGTAAAAGAAGTCACCCAATTAACATGAAACTAATCTCTTGGCCAATCTATTCTCCCGCAGACATTTCTGAGCTGAACATAATAGATACTGCCATGGGTCTTCCGTTAATTAAAATCAACACAGATAGGGCGCCTGGGTGGCTCAGTTGGTTGTGCGACTGCCTTCGGCTCAGGTCATGACCCTGGAGTCCCAGGATCGAGTCCCGCATCGGGCTCCCTGCTCGGCAGGGAGTCTGCTTCTCCCTCTGACCCTCCCCCCTCTCATGTGCTTGCTCTCTCTCATTCTCTCTCTCTCAAATAAATAAATAAAATCTTTAAAAAAAAAAAAAAAGAAAGAAAATCAACACAGATAAATGATCTAAGCTAGCCCTAACTGAGGAAAAATATGTCTTATCGACAGAAAATGTTAATCCTATTTATAGAAAAGAGAAAACAGTCTTTGGCTTTTGAATAATTTTTGTTCATCAGCTCACTATCATTGGAGACACTCACACCAAGGCTTGAAATTTCGATTCTGCCACTGAGTAAGTACAACAGATGCATCCCTAAAAGCTGTTTCTGAATCAAACCTTTAAGTGCACTAAACTAACTAGCTATTTATTGGAAATCTATAGGAAACTGGGCTGTAAAAGTAGAGTCCTTTTTTTGTAAAACAGCCAGTCTCGGTTGGGTAAGTTCAGATGTTTGTATGACCACTTTTTTCAAACGTGAGACATGTGGTTAGTCTTAGTTTACGATTTACAAGTGCCTCAAAACTGTTGGCTGGCCACATGTGGCTTCTAATATCTATCAGCATTCACCTTTAGAGATGAAAAAGTAAAACAATTACAATGTGCATATATCACAGACTCTTAAAATTGGAAGAGACTCTAGTTAGAGATGATGGATTCCAACTCTTGCTCCAGGCAGGAATATATCCTTTGATAGCCCCACTGCTCAAATTCAACATGTCCATAAATGACCTTGTTATTCACCCCCCCCCGCCCCGGGTCCCCACCACAAAAACCCCAAACACCTGCTCTTCTTCCAGTTTTCCCTATCTGGTGAATATCACTATCCAAGCCTACAAACCGAGGAGTTCGCTCATTTACACGTTTATCGCCACAGCCACTGGTGGCTTCCAGAACATTCTGTTTTATTTCATTTACATATCTGTGTCTCCAGCTAACTCTCCCTGCTTCTTGAGGGCATCAAGTATTTCACAGTTTTGTTCAGAGCTTCATACACACATAGGTATTCGGTAATTGTTAAATGAAGGATCCCATAAAGTAGAAGAAGTCAGAAGAAGGGACCTAGCATTTATTGAGCACCTCCTGTATTCTGAGTACTGTTAAGCCCTTTACACACATTTCTTCATTAAATTCTGTTAAGAAGTCTGTAAGGAAGGAACTACCATGCCCATATTACAGTTAGGAGACTGGGGCTCAGCCCTGCTAAGTAAATCAACCAGGAACATACATACCCAGGGCACTGGGTTGGTCTGATGTCGGTGCCTGTGCTCTCTCCCCTACACCTTTATTTCAATCATCTCACCTCCTTCACTGAAGTTTATCTTGACTATACGCAAGAGGGTTTCTAAACAGCATGTTTCCGCTTCTATTTTTGTCTCGCTGTGTCCCCCTGAGTTTCTCTGAAGCTGCCTCTCATTCCGAGTCCCTTCCAGAATCATATCTTTTTCTTCCAGGCCCAACTCCACCTCACACAGCATTTCTATTACTATCTCTTCCAGGACTGCAAGTCTGCACTCTTCAATGTCCGTGTTGGGAGCTACCTAGGAGAGCTGAGGAAGGCCCCCCTCCAAAATGACAGTTGGTCAGGAGCATTGCTGAAAGACCTCTACGTGTTGAAACCTATAGAAAAACAATTAGAGTATTTGTGGTACTCTTCTAAATCTTAGGAGGGTGCCATACAAATTCTTCCGTACACGAGGAAAAGCTCTCCGAGTTTCCCTGAAACTGTAAATATTGTTCTGGAGTAAGTGGGACACTTGAACCTCACTATGAAATTAGGCTTGGGAAAGTATGCTATGGGTCAGCATTGCTTCAAATAAGGTCAAGATAGGACTTTTAACCAGGGATTTCTGAACCTCCTAGAACTGTCTGAAGAACACTGTGTGTTTGTCATATACACATTCTCATGGGGAGAGGGTTGTCCACAGCATTCAAAATGTTCTCAAAAGAGTCCTTGACAGAAAAAAGTCAAACACGAGTGCTCTAAAATAACCCACCTTAACTGATTTCAGATCTATAAAGAATAATATAAGATGGTTCCAATCTGTTGCTTATGGTAACTTTTCTATACTGTTTCTATTCTGTTCTGTTTCATCATCATCTAGCAACTGCTGTAGCCAAGATCAGGGAACTGAATGTTTTTTTCAACTTTTTCAAACATCTATTCATCTCATCTCTCATTCATGAGGCCACCTTGTTCTGGACACTCCTAATATTTCAGGATCCTTTCAACTATCTCCCATTTTTACTACTTCCCTGATTATCTAAGCACATTTCCCCTTAAAATTTATCTGGTATGTACTATGTGCCAGGCACTAAATAATACCCTTTACGTGCATTGTCTCATTTAATTTTCACAACGACCCTCTAAAAGGTAGGTAGTATTATTACCAAAAAAAAAGTAACTTGTCCCAGATTACATTTATTGGCTAGTAGCAGAACTAAGATTCAAGCCCAGAATAAGACTGAGAGTCCAGAAATAAACTGATATACTCATATGTTTATGGGCAAGTAACTTTTGACAAGGATCCCAAGTCCACTCAGTGAGGAAAGAATAATCTTTTCAACAAATGGTATTAGGACAACTGCATATCCACGTGCAAAAAAAAAAAAAGTGATGAAGTTAGAATCCTACCTCACACCATATACAAAAGTTATCTCAAAATAAATCAACAACCTAAATGAAAGTGCAGAAACTTAAAATCTTGGGTGGAAACATAGGTGTAAATCTTTGTGAACTTAAATTAGGCAAGGGTTTCTTACATTACACCAAATGCACAAGCAACCAAAGAAAAAAGTAGATAAATTGGACTTTATCAAAGTTTAAAACTTCTGTGCTGCAAATGACAACATCAAGAAAGTAAAAAGACAACTCACAGAATGGGGAAAAAAGTATTTGCAAGTCACAGATGTGATATGGGTCTAGTATCTAGAAATAAACAGAACTCTTAAAACTCCACAATAAAAAGACCCCCAAAATGGGCAAATGATCTAAATAGACACTTCTCCAAAGACGATATACAAATAAAGGATCAGTAAGCATATGAAAAGATATTCAATATCATCAGCCATTAGGGAAATGCAAATCAAAAGCACACTGAAATACCACTTTGTACTCATTGGGATGGTTATATTACTACTTCACACCCACCAGGATGTCTGTAATTTTAAAAAATAGCAAATGTCAGCCAGGATATGGAAAAACTGGAACCCTCATACATTGCTGGTGGGAATGTAAGATGGCACATCTGCTTTAGGAAATAGTTTGGCAATTCCTCAGATGGTTAAATGTGGAGTTAGCATACGACCCAGAAGAACTGAAGATGTGCTCACTCAAAAACTTGTACACATGGGCGCCTGGGTGGCTCAGATGGTTAAGCATCTGCCTTCGGCTCAGGTCATGATCCCAGGAGCCTGGGATCGAGTCCCACATAGGGCTCCCTGCCGGGCAGGGAGCCTGCTTCTTCCTCTGCCTCTGCCTGCCTCTCTCTCTCTCTGACTCTCATGAATAAATAAATAAAACACTTAAAAAAAAAAAACTTGTACACAAATGTTCATAGCAGCATCAGTCATAATAGCCAAATGGTAGAAATAACCCAAATGTCCATCAACTGATGAATGGATAAACAAATATGGTACATCCATACAATGGAATATTATTCATCAAGAGAAAGTAATAAAGTACTGATCCATACCACAACATGGGTGAGCACTGAAAGCATTATGCTAAGTGAAAGAAGCCAGCCACCGAAGGTCAAAAATTGTTT